TATATATATATATATAATTGATATATTTAAGGTAAACTAACCCTTTAATAAAGCAAAATATTCTTAACACTTGGGTAAATTCCATGAAATAAGTTTGGCTGGAACATGTAAACCAAATAAAACAAAATCAGACACCTAGAAGATTTACTATTACAATCAACACCACCATAGCTGAACCGCTCAAAAACTGATACAATCTGTTTTCTGCCAAATCACTACAAATTATAACAAACTTGTTTGTGGAAAAGAGAAAGACAGAAATAGGGGCAAAAAAAATAATTTCCAATACAGACATGGAAAAACTGATTGGTGTGAGGTAATCTCTGTTGAACCTGTGAATTGTCCCAAACTCCACCAACTAATGAGACCTGGATAATCCTATTTACCCCTCCACTCCCCTCAATTCTCAATGGGATGTATTCTTCAAATCTGGAAAGGTACTGAGAAAGTAATATTTCCATAATCCATATTCCCATGGGAAACAGGTGATTTTTTTTTTACCTGGATGAGTGTTTGATTATGTATCCAACATCATACACATCAGAGAGCTCGTTTACCATACAAATAAATAAATACATAGCACTGGTTGGGTAAATCTCATACAAACACATTCGTGTCACATGCTGTGAAATGAATAAGGCAAATGTCTATCCTGCTGAACTTGTTTTGCAATCCCGATTTGTTTAGATGATGGAAACACACAATGAAACGATTATGACGGCAATTTATATGAGTTTGAGAGAAACATTAAAAAGCAAATGAACTGCAGATCGACAAAACTTACCCAAAATATGATGTTGAATCCGAACAAGAAGTATTTAACACAGCAGCTGACCTCTGCTCCTTTAAAATGATGCTGTTTTCTGCTCATTTTGTTCAGGCCAGCTAACGCTGTCGTGTTGATTCAACGATCAGCTGCGAAAAACTAAACGGATCGCCAAAAATGCGACTCGAAAGCGATTCATGCATCTATATTTTAGCCGAAGAGGCTGCGAACCAGCAATACATCGCAAACCACAACAATGCACCCATCAACAAGCGCTTTTTCCACTGAGCTGAATCTATTCATCAGTTTTTCAACATATAAACAACGGGTGAGGAGTTAAATGGATGGGGAGATTAATGTTCCGGGTCCCCCCTGATAAATCCCGAACGCTTTGGGTTGGTGTCATGAGATGTGCTTGATATTTTAACCTAGTTGTGAATGTCCCGAGGAAAACAATCCACAGCAATCTAACAATCCAGCAAGAACAGAGAAGCGCGACACTGCAATCAGAGGACACGAGCGCACAGTCAACTGAACAAGCTGTCACAATAAAAGTCCTGTCTGCGCCAGTATCCATGAATTATTGATTTATTTCACCAACAAGTCAGTGTGAAATATACAATGTCTTGCACAAATATACAACGTCTTTCACCTTTTTAAAGTATTTCTGAGATCTGTTTAGGTCGTCTTGAGTAAACAGTGCTTTTCCAAACACCAACTCCTAATGAATTTGTAAACACTTGTTTATATACCTATAAATATAAATATCAAATTATATATAATTACTATTGAGTTTAGCATATTATTACCTTAGTATATTATTATTATTTTGTGTATTATTATTATTACCACCCCAACCTTTTCACACCCTGCAACAAGAGACTACATTTTGCATATTTCATATCTTCTATGTAAATTCATTAAAATTCATATAATTATTATTATTATTATTTTACTTTGTTCCTTTCCTTTTGATTTACCCTTCATTTTCTATATATCTGTATTTACTTTGTCGGTTTTATTGTCCGTTACACTGCTGTAACTGTATACTTTGGCATTATGGTAAATGCTGACAACCGTGCCATTAAATCATGTAAAATAATTACAATTTACAGAGAGCTGAGGGGTTATTTTATTTTGTCACTTCAGGTTATTTTTGTTATTCATCGTCGCTTATTGCTGCCATTGGAGCTGTTCTTTCTATGCAGCACTGATGGTCTCTCTGGAGAATGTGAAGCATGTTACCCTGTTAACACAAGTCAATGATCTAAACAGGAAATAAACATGCATCTGAGAGCTCATAGTAGCTCATAGACAATCCATTTTATTTCTAATTTTTATTCTCTTATCATGAAAAGGCTGTTTACAAAAGAACAAACTGCTCCTTGACGTCACTGGGGACCATGTTGGCGGTACTGATGAAATAATCCAAAATTAATAATCTAATAATTAACTACTTTTGAGCCTTAAAAAGGTTTGCATAATTTGAATACTAAAACACACAGTGTATATAATGTCTGCACACATGTGGTCGTTACCGATTCATATAATAATGACTCATTTATATTTGTATTTGTATAATTAATATTTGACATTCTTTTGAGCTCATATCCTGAGCCTGCAGCGATGGATACAGTAGTGATGAAACCAGTTTACCATTTTGGTCCTATAGGTGGTGGTATTGACCAGGCATCTGTGGTCTTTGCTGCCTGTATCTCTTCAAGAAACATCACAACTTTTTTGATTAAAGAATTTTTACTTAATTCTAGTGTATGAATGCAATTCACAGACTAGATTAAATTATTTTTAAGACTTTGTCTATACTGTCCAATTCTGAGTTGTGGGGAAAATAATAGTAGTAGTAATAATAATAACAATAATAATATCCTACATTTTTGATGTAAAATATTTCTCCCATGTATCAGTAAAAGAGGTCAGAATATAAACTACATCCCTTTCCTATAATCACACTATAATAAAGTATCTGGTTATAATAATAATGTGCATTTTTCTAAAATAGTGAGGAAATCAGTTATAGGGAGGTAAAACTGTGTGCATTTGTAATGAATAAACTTACAGTTTGTGCTTTCAGCATCAAAATGTATCAAGAAATGAAAACCTTCTAAAAACCTCTCCAAGAAGATGACATTGTTTATTTGTGTTTATTCACTTAATTTAAAAACAGAACTGAACAGACAGAGATAATATTGAGGATGGTTATTCAGACATGATGTCAAACTCAAAGAAATTGTATATGTAAGTTGAATCAAGCATAATGCAAATGAAGGATCGCACAAGTACACAGGGGCTGTAAAGCATCCGTGAAAGTGATAACATTATTCTCACCAAAGGTGCCGAGTCACTTTACAGCTGATGTCCCTGTCAATCAAAATTCCCCTATGCAAATACTCAAAAATCTGCTGATGCACCAACACAGAGAATGATTTTCTCATGTGTGGTGAGCCAATATTTGAGCGCAGGCTAACATGACTACACTTGGTATGCATGACCCTTGAGACTCAATCCTTAAATGAGTGCTAGTGATCAGCTCAGACAGATTTCAATATGTAATTTCAGAACTACGACAGACAAACATTCGGTATTAAGTAGTGTGAATTACCATTTACCACACAGTATACAGTGTGTACTGTCAGAAATTTCCCAGTCAAGTGTAAATGTATGCTGTAGACAGTCTGACAGTGTCAGAGGTGATGTTTAAATAAATGATAAAACTTACAAGTGCCCCATGAAATATATTTATTTGAGTGAAATGTGTAAAAAAGCAATTATCTCACCTTACTCTACCAACAGAGCTGTCAGTCACCTTAAACCCAGAATTACTTCAGTCCCTTTTATGTGATAAACTGAAATGCTATGTGAAGTTTAACTTATATATAAGCTCAGCCAGAATTCTCTCTTCTCCTGTTTTTGCCCTCTTTGGAAATATAACTAATAGCCATCTAAGCAAGGTGCATTAATGAACACTTAAATTCAATCATTCCTACATTTTAAGTGAAATCACACTGTCCAAACCTCCTAATGCTTTATTTTTTCACTTCTCCCATTGTGCATCAGACCATTTTATTTCCCTCATGTATGTCAGCACTAAACTAATATGGAAAACGAATCGGATTTCAAATCACCAGCAGCTTCCATTTATAATATATGTAATGTAGAGAATTTCCTACCATTCCCTCTCATACCATAAAACCTTGCTGTGTCATTCTGTCTTTACATCTAAATTAACTCACAATCAGCAATAAGCAGTCAGTTCCTTCCCAGTTTGACTCAAGTCGGACCTACGAATATTGTGACATTGTCAGAACATACTGTACAAAAAAAGCAAAAGGGACAATCCCTTTTATATTTATGTAGATTAAAAAAATGAGGTTAATAACTAATACTGCTTTGAAAAGTCTTGCACATTACTTTTTTTTTATCTTTGGTACACCTTTCTGAGTCCATGTAATGCCTTCTTCATTAGATTACAGACAGCTGCAGAGATGAGACCAAGATGTAACTTTACAGGTACAGTTCACTTTAAAATGAAAATGTAGTCTTCATTTATTCACCCTCATGTTGCAAGATCATATGACCTTGATAAAATCTTTCTTTACAGATGCGGTCACGCTCCAACAACAACAACAACATAATAGTCACGTATTAGTTATATTTCAGCATCAGCCTCATTTACTTTTGTTTGAAAATGTGGACATTCACCTCATTTTGTGTTCCATGATAGTAAGTAAACATGTGAGGTGAGTAAATGATGACAGCATTTTCTTTTCTTTTTTTCAATTATCAACTACATTACCGTTCAAAACATTTGGGTTTAGTAAGATTTTTAATGTTTTTGAAAGAAGCTCACTAAGGCTGCATTAATACAGTAAAAATTGTTTATTTTAAATAACTTTTATATTTTAATATACATTTTAAAATGTAATTTATTCCTGTGACAGCAAAGCTGAATTTTCAGCAGCCATTACTTCAGTCATCAGTGTCACATGATGCTTCAGAAATCATTCTGATATGCTGATTTGGTGCTTAAGAAACATTCCTTTTTATTATTCCTTTTTATTATCAATTTTGAAAACAGTTATGCTGCTTAATATTTTTGTGGAAACTATGATACATTTAAAAAAAAAATGATTTGATGAATAGAAAAGAACACCATTTATTTGATTTTATTTACTGGATTTTTTAAACTATAAAAAACCCTTTTTCTCATTTTTAATGCGTCCTTGCTGAGAAAAAAAAAAACTTACTGACCCAAACTTTTGAACGACAATGTATTTCTTTAACATGAACAGATTCCATCACAGAGTCAACATAGTAACATACTGTACTGTATGCAATGTACTGAAAAATCCACAATGCTTTACATTCAATATTTAAGGGACACTTTGGTCTACAACGAAATCAGGCTGAAGGATAAATCATCCCTAAGTGCTTTCTACAGATCTTCGGGCACGCCTCCCCTCTTCACCTGCAGACTGCCGGTCCAGCCACGGGGGCAGGTATTGTAGCTGCGCACTCCAGGAGAGCGCAGACCTGAATCCTCAGACTCGACCGAGGCATCAGAGTCAGTCAGCGAGCGGGCGTTGTACAACTGCACCGGAGAGTGGATCATGCGGGTGGGAGAGGGACTGGTAAGGGTGGGCGATTGAGCCCCCAGCATCCGTGGCTGAAATGGACTGACTGGTTTGTGTTCGTAAGGCACGATCCCGCCGTTCACTGGGGAGATGGGCAGACTGCGGCTGCTCAGTGCCCCAGGAGACGGACTGTTTTTCCGCTTGGCGGCATTGATGATGTTTTTGGCCAAAATGCGGTGGTTGGCTTTGGTGTCCTGGCTGACAGCTGGGGACTGGCACCTGGTTTCCCAGTGTGGAGATACAGGAGAGGTGGCGGTCAGCTTGAAGATGGTACCTGGAGATGCAGTGGTTGCAATGGGCTTGTGGATAGGGCTTGGGGAAGGGCATGTCGTGACGGGCTTATGGATGAGCCGTGAGTGGGAGATGGGTGTGGGCTTGTAGATTGGGCTGGATGATGTAGAGGTCACTAGAGGGCTGCTGGGGGACCAGACAGTGCTGGAAAGCACCTCAGGGCTGGTGAAGCATCTAGTGAGGTTGGGCGTCCTGGAGGTTGGGGTGGTGGAGCCGGGGCTATTGATTGGTGCCGGGGTCTCCTCCTTAATCTGATAAGACAAAAGATAAGAAAAGATTACTTTTAGAGGTGAGACATCACTTTAATTTAGTGTCTCTATATCACTAAATACACTCACAAACACACACGCTGAATATCTGTTTGCCATACTTCGAATTTCTATTAGCTTTGCCAACATTCTTACTGACCTCAAAAGAAATAAATTGTAATTGATCAGTTTACATAATTTTTATAATTTTATATTTACATTTATAATTTAAAAGTTTGTATTTAAAATGTATGACTTAAGTTTATATTTATTTTAAAAATTACATTTTATTTAATAGAAACATTTTGATGCTTTATCATTTTAAAATATTTTATTTTATAATAGAATTTTTTTTTTTTTACATTTATTATTATATATTTTTGTATTAGAACTGTTTTACAGCAGAATTTTAATTTGTCCCATGTTGGAAGTTTGCATCATTGATTCTGTTGTTTATTATGGTGAAGCTGCTTTAAAACAATCTGTTCTGTATAAAGTGCTATATAAATAAAGGTGATTTTTCACACATCTAAATTAAAATGATCAAATTTCAAGATTTTTTACAAACAAAATTTGGCAGCTAAATATATATAATAGCTAGACTTTATTATACAAGAAAGTCACTTTTACTTTTACTGGGAGATAATGCTGGACATCATGTTAGATCATTTTATTTAGCTGAAAAGCAAAAAATCTGATAAGCATAATTTGCAACAAAATGTCACAGCAAAACAAGACATAAAACTTGCAAGGCATAAAAATATGCATACATGATCAAATACATATATATATATATATATATATATATGGCGTTGATCCAATAGGACATGTGACAGTTCAGTCACCTAGACCAAAACTCACACTGGGCCAGCACACCATCCTTATTCTTGAGCCCTGTATAACTTGCTATGATTCATTTTTTTAGGCAACGTTTGTTATAAATGTAGATAGTGAGGAATGCACGGGAACACATTTATCATCACACTTGAGGTACAAGAGTAGCAGAACAATCCTGGATCCAAAGATCCAATAACCATTCAAAAATCCAAGCTTTCCAAGTTCATGCCAGGTAATGTGCACACGTTTGGTTAAGATTAACGTTTAAACACGCCACTGAAACATCTCCTGCAGCACTGCATGCAACTTCAGATGTGATGTTATCGATATCAGGCCTTCTCATACACCCTGTGATTACATCGAGCTGTTTATTAGTGTCCAATGTCTGAGTAGTTTCCCAGCACACCAGGGTATCATGCATCTTCAGACCGCTTGCATACACGCTGCCAAGACCACTAACCTTTACTGAGATATGCATTTGCACTGCTGAGACTGCTGGGTATGTTTTCACCTCCAGCAAATGTGTTTTTCCAAGCGTGAGGGAGGCCAGAGGTCAGGCCGCTAGCCTAAAGCTCAAGCCCACAGGGGCCTGTTTTGGCTCAGATGTGCATTTTCAGGGGGCAGGCCAGGAATGTGCGGGGCACATACATATTTAGTCAGCATTAAAAAAAAAAGTTTCTAATTTCATTTTGGGTCAGAGCACCACGCGGCGGGTGGCTCTGATATGCATATCTTTGTTTAGTTGGTACAAGTGTATAGATAAAAACGACTCCGGAAAGCCGGCCTGGGATTCTTATCGCTGAAGAGAAGGATAGACACTAACAAAAACTGAAACAACTGATTAGAGGGGATGCTGAAAATAGATGAAGAAATCCACACAGGAAATTCAGCAAATTAGTCAACAGAAGAAGATAATAAAGTATGAAAACCAGAGACAGAAAAGAAACTGAGTGTTTCATTGCTTTAATGAAACAGAGCAGACAAAATCATTTGAAAGAGAAGTCAATAACTCAATTATGGCTTTGTTTAATCAGATCCCTGCAGTAGCACATACAGGAGTGTATGCACACTACATTAAGTACATACTGTTGTGTGCAGTATGCAAGTTTTAAACTGGAACTATAAATCAAAGAAAAGCACACAGAACTAATTAAGATAAAGAATTAGTACATGTGTCATAATAGGAAGAGACTCTCATATCATCCTACTCATATTAAATTGTATTTCGTACATCATAAAATGCAAAACACCATCTGCTAAACTGCTTATGAGCTTGTACCAACTCCAACCTGAAAACTTGGAGGCAAGCGTTGGAAAATGACACACTGGTTTTGTACCTAAAATATATCTGGCATCAGCACAAAAATTTATAAACTGTAGTTCTGAAACTCAAAGCTGTATTAAATTACAATGTCTTAATTAAAAAATAAATAAGGTTCAATTTATGTCCCTCTGGTGGCCAGTTTATGAATGACAATTTAAGTCAGTTTTACAGGCAAATGTAGGACCTGACATTTATTGCTTCCACTTGCAAAACTCAAAAAAAAATAAAAAATAAACAAACAGGCCTGACCAAGAGTGCTAGATTTCCTGTAGCTACTTTTTAGAACCTTACTGCTCTCTTGCTACTTCTAAGTGGACAGTCAGTCTGATATGTGTCCCTTTTACTTTACTTCCATTATATTTTGATCTGAAGAGTACATAAAGCAAAGAAGATCAGAAATTGAAAGGTTTAAAAGAATGAAGAGGGTTTCCACACCTGTGGGCTGATACCAGCTTTTTTGGTGGAGAACGTGGGACGTGGAGCTTGGACGCCAGAGTGAGGTGAAGCCACACGATCTGGAGCTAAAGGTGACACTGGGGAACTGACACTGCCTGCTTTGATGGGACTGAGAGGCATCATAGGAGGCGAAAAGCAATGGGCTGACCGATAGGCGGCAGATGGGCTGTAGGGTGATGGCAATGGGCTTGTTGGAAGGGATGATTGTCTGGAGTAGGAGTGAGCTGTCACGACAGATTTAGGAGCTGGGGCGGCTCTGGGAAGAGTGCTGTAGGGATCTTTCATTGGGTTGAAGATAAAGAGGGATGAGTTGAGCTGGTATGGCTGATGTTTGGACAGCTCCATCTCGATTTTAGTGCAGCCATTCTCCAAGGGTATTTCTGGAGGTGGAGCCGGAACAGGTGCTGGCGTTTTGGCAGGGACAGTCTTTTTCTGAGTTGCCTGCTGAGCTTGAAGTGTTTTTGAAATTTGTGTACTTATATTGGAGGAGTTTACTATGGCCTTTACTCGACCGGGCATGTTGGATGGATACACCCACGAAGGAGGCAAGGACATGGTAGGAGAGGGAGATCTCGGGTCCTTGCTGTCATGGACATACCTTTCCATCCTCGACTGGCGTTTGGCAAACAGTTCGGCTCCTTTTCCTGAAGCATTGGTCAGGGTTTGCTCAGGCTTGTGCTCTATCCTGGCACGTGTCCTGGAGCTTTTCAAACTCGAGGCCCACTCTGGCACCGCAGCTTCCTCGTGAATATCCTCGTCTTTGGCCAGGAAGTTTGAGGCTTCATCCCCGAGAGCCAGCAGCTCCTCTTCCTGCCCTGCATCTGGCTGGGGTTTTTTCTTCTTTCCATCTGCACACTGCACCAAGGACAGGAGTTCGGGATTCGGAGCCACTTTTGGCTTCTCCTGAAATGTGAACATCGACTTGCGGGTCGCTCTGCGAGCCCGGCCCTCATCAAGGATGCCCGATCTGATGGGAGTTACAGATATCTTCTCACTCATATGGTTAGGGACAAATGTAGGCCTGGGGGCATATGGGCGGATGTAAGAAGAAGGCTGAGGTGAGGGAGCATGGGCTGTGTTAGGTGGAGGAGGGCTGGAGTAGCTGGGGAGAGGAGGCGTTGGATACGAAGGTGGAGGTGGTGGTGGAGAGAAAACAGGTCTTGGGTGCACTGGGTAAGTTGAAGGTTCAAAGTGTGTTGTAGAGTCATCAGATGGGGCTGGAAGGATGTCCATGACTGGACTTGTAGCTTCAAAGGATCTTACTGTTGTCGGGGAGAAAAATGGGCGAGCTGTTCTGTTCATGATGGTGGGCTGTTTAGTCACCGTCTTATCTGCTTTTCCATTGCATTGTGCACTGTATCCATTTGGGATTTCTTTATTGTGTGCTCCATTGCCTTCAGCTTCATCTTGACCAGTTCTGTCCATAACAGCAGTGGTATTATCACTTCTAAGAGTAACCTCTTCCTTCACATGCTCCGTGAGGTCTTCTGAGAGCTCCTCATCCTTCTCGTTGACAGGGAGAAAGTGTCTGTCTTGGCCGCTTTCTTCTGCTACATCCTCCCGTGTAACCTCACTAGCATCTTCCATGTCACTCCCAGTACTGCTGATTCTGCCGGCCATCCACGTGAGGTTCTTACGATTCAACTCTTTGTCCTGGTCCTCAGTCAAGTGATGTTTGTTCCATGTCCGTGGACTTTCAAAAGATGAATCAATTACATTCTTGGATGCCTCCACTCCCCCTCCTCCGACGCTTACAAGTGTGAAAGCGTTCACTCTCTGTCTGCGCCGGTTGAAAAGTTGGACGCCTTTAGAGTTGGAATTGGCCTGGAGCTGAGCAGCAATGATCTGACTCTTGGTCCGTGCCTCCTTCAGCTCCTTCTCCGACAAACTGGCACTTCTGCTGAGGTCTGTAATGGTAGAAAAACACACCAATCAACTCAAGAGAAAGTGTAAATGATATAACACATTCACAGCTATGCCATTTGCAGTGCTTTTCAGTTCACAAAGCAAAGTATTGCTCGACCCAGGTTATAATTGCAGAATTTAGCACAACCCACCAAGTATTCACAAGACTTATGGGGGTTATTTTAAATGCACTTAATTGTTTCAGCCTAACAAACAAAGGGTGCTGTATATAATATCACATGCCTTTTTTATTAGACAGACTAATTGGACAGGTTTTGGCAAATATTAGCCTGCTTTGTATTTTATTTCATGATCTCACCATTGCTGTCTCAATCATTTGGTTGCTTTTTAAGTCTCAGCTATAGTAGCAATGTGCTCAAATGGGAGTATAATTATTTTAAAAGTCAAGAGTATTATATGTCTTTCAAGTAATTCTAGCTTTCATGAGTCACCCTGTTAAAAAGATGAATCATATTAGTTTGTCGTCCTTTTTGCGCACAGACTTATAAAAGAAATGCTGTCATATAAAGTTCAAGGATTTGTGGTCAAAATTATTCTTTTCACAGTTTGCTGTGATTCACAGAGCCTGCAGGCAACCTTTTGTAGACCGTACAATGCTTTCACACATTTATAGTTCTAAAAACCTCCTGTAAATAAATCTTAATGCTGATATTTGCAGTTCTACCCATAGTTTGGCAAAGATGGATGTTAAAACAGTCATGTATTTGTTGAAAATGGCAAAGGTTTATTGACTGGGCAAAAAAGCCCCATTACGAGCTGCAGAAAGTATTTCCTTCACCATGGGCTCTAGTTCCTCCCTTAGCATTCCTCAACTGCCGAGAAAATTCCCTGCTTGAGACTGCAGCATGCCTTGAGAAATCTCTCTGAGGCACAGGAGCCATTGGTTTATATGCCGACAGGTTCATGCCTTTCCATCATCACTTACGAGACAAAGTCTACATTTAAATGCTTAAACTTTGACCTACAGTGACATACTGTGGCATCAAAGTTTCAGTAAATAAAACAAGTGTGCTTAAAAATCCTGCCTACAAAAGAATGAATGCCTCAGGAAAGGGACAGAACTTTTAAAACACAAACCCTCAACATCTTATACCAGAACATTACATCCTGAGGAACAGACTGCTTACAATTACATCACTGGCTGAACGGCTTGACTCTCTTAATGTAAGTGTGGTTAACCTGTGCAACATAAACACAATCTGTTTCCCTAATAGACCTTTGAATAATTAACCACTCCAGGTTTCCCTGAGGTAGTTCTTTGCTTTTATCCTCAACCTCAGACTTGGCAGCAAACCTGAAAACAATTTGTTGAGTGTTTTTTCTCTATCTATGCAGGTAGGTCTTTGTCTTGCCAGAACCACAATGGGAGTTAAAAAAAAAGTAGTAAAAAAAAGCAAGAGTTCTAAAGAGTTCTATTCCGTTTGTTTTATGTGCAAGTTTGCCAGACTCAAAGGAGCTTTTATATCACATGGCATAAAATTATAATAGAGCATGTATAATGTGCATCTGCCTTTCATTCCACCAGCAAAAACGCCTCTTTATTTAGTCAGGCCATGCAACACAACCTCTAGCACTGTGATAAAAAGCTTTCCATTTTCCTTCTTTACAGACATTCATCTTTACGGTGTTTAAAAAGATTTTCTTTTATAAACCTGGAGCAAAATCTGATAATTATAAAAACATACATGCAGCTTTTCTCTTTTTTCTTTCTTTTCTTTTAATTTAATGTGCATGTTTTCCCACCAACCAAAGTAGTTTCAAGTACTTTCAAAAATGTGCAGTTTTAATTTCTTCCTTATTCTTATAAATGTCCCTGTCATATCAGAGCCAGACCTAAATACAAGTTAATTTAATACAGTTATGACTTTACTCACTGACTGCTTTCTACTTTTCAAATAAATAAATACACTACAAAATGTGGTAATGTGGAAAAAAATACCTAGGTTAATTGGGTCACATTAAAAAAAAAAAAATTCTAGAATGAAACCAGTTAATTTAGATGTTACCACATGAAGCACATTTTAGATTATACAATTTTTTTTTACAGTTTAAACAAAAAATAACTTTAAAAACATTATGTCTGAAATCCACAAAGAACAATTTGTCACTTTAACTTCAAAACAAAGTTGTTCTATTCATTCAAAAACTTGCTGCCTATTGACAGTTTATGCCTAAAGACAACCCAAAGTGGCAACCAGTCCGTATTGTCTTTTAAAGCAGCATGCATTCACTGTAAAATATTGATCTCTTCTCGCTTTAAAGAAGATGCATCACATTATATAATTTAAACGATCTATGTCATCAAACCTCAGAACTTAAACATGACTTCAGCACATGCCTTTCACAAATCTAAGCATTTTTTTTTAAGTTTCAGAAGCACCATGTCAAACTAAACTTCTCTTACCTTAATTAACTCTGCATACAGTCTCTTTTGTTGCTGCTTCTCGAGCTTTTCTAATTTAACTTCATGTGTTTCCTCCACTCCCCCTTTAGCAGCGCGAGCCTGGATCGGATTTCGTGTCGTTGCGAATGATGATCTCTCGCGCGCTCCAAAATGCGCATCGAGTATGAGGCGGGCAGGCTGGGGCACTGGACGAGGTTTGCGCTTCCTTTTTGCTTTTTTTAAAGGATGGCTATGCTGTGCAATGTTCCTGGCAGACGTTTGGTACACTCCAAATTCAACAGCGAAGAACCAGGATACAGAATAGATCTGGAGAGCGGGGCTATAGCTGTCACGCGGGAAGGTTGTCACAAGGGATAGTCAGAAATCAGAAACTATGAGGTTTTGAGCCAGAAGTCCAATTAGACAAATGTTTTCTCTAGCAATGGTTTTGTAGGTTGTTTTTAAAGCTGTAGTTCAACCCTCTTAAGTATATATTATATTATATATCACTCTCATGTTCCAAACCTCTATGACCCTGAAACCCATTTCTTTCTGATGTGGAACACTAAAGTAGAAGCAGAATGACGGCCTCAGTCACCATTCACTTTCATTTAATGGGAAAAAATATGCAATGAAAGAGAATGGTGACTGAGACTGTCAGTTCCTGACTTTCAGCCAAACATCTCTATTTGTGTTCTAACGAAGAACATCATGTGGGTTTCAAACTACATGAGCGTGAGCAAATAATGAAAACATTTTCATTTTTCAATGAACTATCCTTTTGCGTAACCACTGTTTTCATTACCAGAGTTCATGGATGTAGGAACGATTCAAATTTATGACTTCTACGGCCTTGGATGTACTTAAATAATCACGTACAGATTCTGTAAGTTCGCACATTCTGTTTCACGCCAAATTAAGTGGCCACATTTCATCAGTGTCATGTATAGAATCAGTGTGTCAGCTCTTTCAGAGGATTGGGTGTCAGGGGAGAGAGTCGTCCGGCAAATACGCTCGCTTGGTTGGATGGACACCTGAGCCTCGAGGGTGGAGTTCAGTTTAGGCCGCAGAGGTTTGCTTGCTTAGCTGATCCATCCTACCTGAATCATAACACTCATGCTTAACTTCTCATTAACATGAAGGGAAAGACAGGATCTTCCTCAAACCAAGAAGTAGTGGTAGGAATTCAGGGACATAAATAATGTTCCCATGTCCTTGGCATCGAGCTGTGTATGATATGTGGGCTCTCAGTTTGGACAGATGAGGGAAGCTCCCTCACAGCTTGAGGATTTGGGGACCTGGCAGGCCTAGGGTTGTATATCAAAGGTCAAATTCCCCTGTCGGATGTTATGGTTCACTGGGAAGATGGGATAAAATGACAGTTTTCCTCTGGGAAATGTGGAAGTGATGAGATCAGAAAGGTTTGAGAACTTTCAAACCATGAATGTGCAATTACACATCACTGTCCACAAAACCTGTACTAGGAGACCCTTCTTACTCTGCTACCTCATTCTCAAGTAGGACAACATTCACAGAATAGCATATACAGATCAGTTCTGATGCTGAGAAATGCCTTGTAATTGACCTGCTATATTATTATAAAACCTACAGCGGTGGCCATAAGTTACTGTAAATTTGCAGAAGCTGCTAGATGAAAAATTATGTGATGGAAAAGATTACACAGTTTAAGACTCCAAATGAGTCAGTTTACAGAAAAGGTGTGGGGTATATAAGTCCTTTTTTCTGCACTGTATCTGGCTTTAGACCGGCTGTTTAATACTTCCTCACTGAATTGTATTACTTTGTGTAGGATCCCATCCAACATTGTTGTTTTTGCGGTTTTGGTTTGTTCAAACTTTTGTGTACATTGTGTGAACTCTTTACATGCTTTGTAAAAAGAAAGTTGGTTTAAAAAATAACTGAATTAATAAGAGGCATCATTAAAGGGATACAAAGAATCACTTTTTTAATTATTAACATTTTCTGCCAAAGGTATCTAAACATATGACCTGCAGCTCTAAATCATAGGTTATGAACATGGAAATTAATGCATTTGTCTTATACAGTGGCAATAAGAGATTTACTACAAATTATATTATTAGCAAAACAATTCCAAGCGAAAAGTTAACGAGTTACCATTACATACATTTCAGAAAGTCTTAGTACTTTTTGAATGTCTAAGTCCTCTTTTGTTTCAATGACAGCAGCACTAAAACTGGATGAACAACACAAGTATGTGTAAAAGCTGATGATCATGATCCCTGGTGCTGACTGTTTGTACAAAAGAGTTTAGGTTCAACCTAAAAAAATAGCAAAATTTGATTAATGACCTAAAAAACGGTGTAGAATTAAAATGTCTTACTACTGTTTATTTTTATTATTATTAATATTATTTAAAATTGTACTAATTTTAAAACATTAGAAAAAAAAACTGCTCTCAAACTTTCGGACCACACTGTATCATTTTCCGATTTCATGCTATCAGCATCTGGAAATGCAAGAAAGAAAAGCATAACATTCTGCATCTCATCAAATCATGCTGCTGTGTGGAGACATCAATCTCATACAAGGAGAGAGAGAACGAAAGAAAAAGAGAGAAAATGCTGACATTTACTTCAGCGTCTCTTCCTAGGAACGGTATGAAACCAATATAAAGTGACTGAATTAGCTGTTCCATCTCAGCCTTTCCACATCCTCCTCTCTCGCCATTTTACACACTCCAAAGCTGTTACAACACCACAGCAACCTCTTAAATTCTGCAAAAACAGTTTTGGACCATCTGAAATGGGTCTGAATTCTCATCAGCAGGGCTGTAAAACCCCTCTATCGCACAGTCACTGGTGTGAACTGCCGCTTACTGCACTTGCAATGGGTGCCTGGTCATCTGCAAAACTTATTATGCATTTTTTCCAGATAACATTACCCACAGCTTGAGCATTATGGTCAGTGGGTATATGAACTGAAGAGCTATTACTGTACGGCTCATCTGTGTCTGTGAGGAAACAAATGTGTCACTGAGGGTTTAGTAAGAACTGATGTCTAAACAGTTAGGGGATAGCAGCTACATCAGTCTATCAATCTGATGGTTCTTATGTCTCTCTGTCTGTAAAAGCATTCAACTTTTAAAGAATAAATTTGTCTTGACTCGTGTTTCTATTTAAATTTATTACATGACACTATTGAACACTTAACTCTGATTGGTTAATCACAACATTCTGCAGTCTTTGCGGTAATTAGACACTGTATAATGACACTAAACTGTATAGCACTTACCTATTCTATTCTATTCTATTCCATTCTATTTTTAAAAAAAAAACCAAGCTGTGTACTGTGCTAGACTAACTGAGACTTGTCACAGCACTTGTACTGTTGCTCTTTTGTCCGTCTGATTGCTTCTATTGTTCTCCTCATTCGTAAGTCGCTTTGGATAAAAGCGTCTGCTAAATGATTAAATGTAAATGTAAATAATTAACCATTGTCCCAATTTGCAACCATTGCAACCAATTTCCTACATAGTTTCGCTAGTTTCATGTCTGTCATCGCACCTTATCATCTCTTTTTTTAATCATATAATACAGGTATTCCCAAAATTTTTTGTCAGTTGAAACATTTGACCTAAAATATTTACATACATTATAACAACAAGTTCTCTGATGTTGGTTTATGATCACATGATGTCCAGGGAAACTTATACAATTGCATGTTTCTTAGCAAGTGTTTTATTTTAATTGCATTAATGTTATTTCTATTAGTTTGTTTTAATTATTAGCTTTTTAACTTTATACTTTTAAAAACTCGCAATTTGAACTGACTCACTTATCCATTTAAATTATGCACTTACGCAATTACGCAATGTTTTAATTATTAGCTTTTCATCAAATCACAAACCCCAGTATGGGAAACCCTTATATAACAACAAAAAATAAACTCAGTGTTTGCATTCATTTATTTATTTTTTTTAGAAAGCAGCCTGTAATATACTATAAAATATCACGTTCTTCAGATTCAAAGCTGTAAACAAGATTTGGAAGAAAATATTTACTTGTTTTCCGCTCCATCTGGCAGGACGTCAAGCCTGGCTTTGCTTTGACCCCACAGTGGTGGTCATCCTTCTCCAAGTTGTTAGTACTGTGCCTCTCCAGGGACGTGTTTGCTCCTGTCTTGTTGAGGGTGGAGGATGTTGTAGTGGTAGGCCCACCCCAGCTGTCCCCTCTTCTAGCAGGCTCATGCTTGCACTCCATCCCAGCCCGCCTCACTTCGTCCTTGCCTAAGAGACTCTCTTCTTTCGCTGAGCCCCCTTTTAGCCGGCACACTTGCCTGGGTATGACAAAAGCTTTCTTTTTCTCAGCTGGGGCGTAAGTTTGACTTGTAAGAGGTGGTTTCGGGATCCGCTGACTGTTTTATGCTTCCCGATTTTTGAAGAAACAAGGATCAAAAGCAGGATCAAAGTTAAACTAAAGCTCTACATTTTGCTGGACATTTTCTTCACGGTAATCCTTCGGAGTAGACGCGCTTCCGCCCAGAGATGAGCTGAGAAATGTACTTTTGCTTTCAATCCACACAATATTATTCAAACTCTAACAAGACCTCCCTGGAGGTACTTCTCAATGCACCCTGGATCAGTTCCCATGGAAAAGTGCCAAGAAAATTTCACAACTGGGATATGCTCTTGTGCAAATGCGGCAAAGGCTGGCAGACTGTCCTCTGTTCTATTTGCGTCTGTTTTCGATGTCTTATCCAGATATTTGTCTTTCTTTTTGAGTCAAAGTCACCAAAACATGTCCCTCGAGTTTATCGCAATCTCCCCGAGGCAGACTGTTTCTTTAAAGGCACGTGTAGCCCTTGCTCTCAAAATGTTTCAACAATGTTAAGATGAAGGGGAGTGCTTGGTGCTTTCCTGTCGTTTCTTTAGCACATGAAAAAAACACATTCAGCCGAAAGGTTGTCCAAATGTTCTGACTGCGGCTATTGTAATCGCTAAACTTTCAAGCAAGGCTTAATTGTGCTCAGTCCATATGTTTGGATTTTAAACAAATGGTTTCTGGTACAATGAGTCAATGATCTTCCTCTCAACTGCTGCTTCCTGAAACATATAAGGTGCAGACTGTCAGTCAAAATATATACTAAAATGCACTTATAAAAAATAAATAATATTTTACAAAACATTTTCAATCTGAACTAATTGAAATGAGTAACCTCATGAAGGAAATATTCCTCCGTTTTGAAGGAGGGGTATTTCCTCTGGCACTGTGCACTTGATATCATTTGTGAAAATGACAAACCACCCATTGTCAAATTAGTGGGAGGAATGAATTGCATTTGCTACATGTGAAGTTGAAACAATGCATATCTCATTTTCCTCCTGACTAATATCAAGGAGACAGGATAATGAAAGGAACATGTGTTGCCCAATTAGGAATTTTTATTTTATAAAACGCACTATAAAGGAAGGAAGGTCAATATTTTTCAAAGCTAGAACATGTGAAATATATGCCGCAAAACTAAGCAGAAAGACTCACAGATTTTATTATATATATGTTTTTTTTATTATTATTTTAAAACGGTAAATTTCCCCCTTTAAATATTTTGACTAATTTGACTGAGGATTTCATTTTTTAATATATATATATATATATATATATATATTATATATTTTATTGTAACAGTCTAAGCTATTTAACACCATTACCACGTAAAACCCCATGAAACCCTATAAATTACTGACTAAACTGTGCTTGGTATAAGAATTACCTCTAAAAGCTTAAAGTAAAAATTTTTTTGGTGAGCTATCCCTTTAAAAAGTCATGATTTTTAAAGATTTAAGGGTGGAGTCACTATATAAATCATTTGGTTTCATGAAGGCTTTTGCAGCGTCACAGCTAAATATCTGTCAGTTTCGTCAGTTAAGGAATTTTCTGTAATAGGAAAGACTTTGACTCAAATGTGAGTCTATGCATGCTCTCGGATGACTTGTAAAGAAGTTGCATGCTGAAACAGGACAGTGTGTTAATTGGCAGTTGTACAAATAGCATAGTCTAGTCTCAATAGCACTGAATCACCCTGTCAGCTGAGTGTCGTCTCTCTCTCACATCCTGTAGGCTACAACAAGGCCACGGGTCACATGAGGTAATAAGACCCCATTAGTCTTCATCACCCCCTTTCAAACACTGTTTTAACTAATAACACCTATGACAAATGAGCGGTCTGTTTCACTCTTCCAGTGATTCGTTCGACCCCAGTGCATTTATGTTTGGGAGTTAACGTCCCGCCCACTCCAACAGTTGACTCAAAGTGGCCACAAAAACGACACCCACTGTTCATGCCCTCCATGCCATCCTCCACAAATAAAGACAATCAACTCAACAAAACAAACATTCTTGCCCACAAAAGCCTCTCACAAGCTCTCTGCCTTTCTCTGCTTTGGACGAAACATAAAGAGCAGTTGCTTTGTTTTGTAATGCTTTTGAGTAATGTGACCTCTGACAACGCTCTGACAAATACATTTTCGTTTTTGCCACACTGGCAGATAAATATTAAATATTTCAATATTTCATCCAAGGCAATAAAGATATATTTTTAAACTCAAGATAAATTGTTCCAGATATATTTAGATTTCCTCAGACTTTTGTAAGTTGCTTAATGTAAAGAATTTTCCATTTAATTTCTTACATTAAGCATGTCACATCTCACTTAACTGTACATCAGGGAAGCTCAGATTATCATTCTTCATCTCCATCAATTCAGTTTTTTTAACATGCATTCTAGAATGTTGTGGTTCCTTATCAAATTACCAGCTGATTAGCAATCAACATTCTTTGACACGCCAAAACATCTTGAAGGCTGAAAGCTGGTTGAAAGAAGGTTGAAAGCTGATGCATCACAGAGCATTTTGAACTACAGGGCATATCTTTTGGATTTGCTAAGGGGGAAAAAAACAGTATAATGATAAATCTTTGTGTCTTAAAGTATCAAAGTATGCTTATCTTATCTGATTTCACTTTCCTGGTATTTATATTACAACATTAACTTACCAGCCTACCTGCATGGCTCTCTCACATAACTAACGATTTGCCATCATTTGATTTATGAGTCATTCCAATCCAGTGAGGGCATTCTTGTGCTCATACACCAATCTAATGAGCTGTATTGAACTCTACCCATCACATTCCATACGTTATCAGTCCCGAGGCACCGGATGCAGGTACTGGGAGATAGTATTTGTGTGTGTTTTGGGCTGTATCCGTTACAGTGCATAATATGAGCAGTAATAGTGTACGTAACAGTGTCTGACACAGCGTTTTGATAGACCTCCGGGGCCCTACAGGTCTCTCTAATATTCCAGATCCATTACAGCCCTCCAGGGCCAGATCCTTCAACCATACGCCACGGCACAATGCAGAGACCTGCTCTTCAACTCGGCTTCTTTCACACAAAGGCCTATTGAAGCACCTGTAAGTGGCCTGAAAAATAATTTGGGGGTTGCACTCTACATTTGGCATTCTTAGAGAGTAATTCTCAGCAGATAGCTAGCATGCCTTGGCTTTCACAGGTTGATGACAAACAGCAAAAACACTGATTAGATATAAACTTCAATGAGGCTCAGAGACATGGTGTTTGCTTCATAAGTGTACTAAGTATATAGCGGGCACATATATATATTTTAGAGAAAAATGACTTGTCATTGAAATCATAGATGTGCAAGGTCTCACTGGGTTGTGCACTCAATAGCTAGCTGAATAATGATACTACTGTCTTTTTTATGCCTGCTTTACAGCAGAATTTGTTCTAATCTTTTCGGATATCTGTATTGTATAAAATGCTATATAAAGGTGACTTGACAAAGTCTGCAGAGAATCAATGAGAAGACAAAAAGAGCAAAACCAGGGGCTTTGGGATAAAGTAAAAATACTGTAACTGTTTTAATTTAATTTTAAATGGCTCATTAAAGAGCCATAAACACATATAAAAAAGAAAAACTAGCCTTTTTGGACTCTGACAGAGAAATTACTCCAACACTAAACTTATCTAGCAGATCCAAATAGCAGATAAAACTTCAGTACCATTAAAAAGCTGCGACTTAAAGAGTCCTGCAAATTATGCCACCAAAGGTCAGTGACAGATGCTCAGCATGACGTCTCTGCTAAACAGAACCCCTGCCTAATGTATAAGTCATGACTGTCGCTAAGAAACTCCAGCACCGGATATTCATTCTAATGTTACTGCATGCTGCTCAAATTTATCATCATAAGAACCACACACAGGCCGGACAAAGGAGAGCCAAACAGGGAACACATGAAGCCCATCGCCAGTTAGATTATCCCTCCACCGGGAGTAGAACGAAGTTAACATCCTCAATTATTCAACCCAAATATTTAGAATGATCGACTTCAAAAACATTCCTCCAGGTTGCAGCTGGCTACCTCACGCAGTAGGTTCTTCAAGGATGCAGTTTGCGATTCAACAGGTGATAAAGCTGTTCATTGATAACACAACACCAAGTGAAACTCAATGAAAGTCTGGAGCTGATGGTAGACTCACCTGTACTCCCAAGTGCTTCGGTGTATATGTTATGGCTAGTTTGTACAGCCCCTTTACAGGTCCTCCTTGCGTTCACCTCCCCCTCTGTCTCACATGGAGTTACGCTCTCGTTCTCGCTCTCTCTTTCTCTCTAGCAGACTGAAAGAAGGGAAAAGGGGGTGTGGACGAACAGGAGTTGGAACACAGAGAGTTCTTTGTCTGCCTTCTTCATATGGTTTCCTTCAAGCATGCATACTGAACACATTATACCATTATATATTTTCATATTTAAAGTAGGGGTGTTTGGGGATCGGTGTGCACTTTGCTCTTTGTCCCGCTCAAATTTTTACACCGGACAGGGGAATAAAACATACACAGCCTATGCATGCTATAAAACTGCCAATATGTGCTTGTTTCTGATTGCTACGAGTTATAAAAAGTAACCAGTGTCGAGTGTTTTCTCTTGAGATGAATAAAGTGTAACACAAAAGGGCCTCTCAGATTGGTTTCACAGACATGGAGAGCCCCCGCAATGATTCTTGAGCTGCGTGTTGAAGCAAAGTAAGACACTTAAAGTCTCAATGGGATGGGATCTGAAGTCCACTGATCTCCCGACAGAGATGTCTGTCTGAGAACAGACATGCGAGATGGAAAACAAGGTATCTGTGGCAGGACAAATACTATGGTTAGATTACGGACTTCAGAGCATGTTTAAAGGTAATTTTAGGGAAAATGATCTTTATGATAGCTCAATGTTGTATGCAACTGTGTAAAATAAGCTCTGATCTATTTAATCTCTAAGTGCTTTCTCACAGTTGAAATAACACTCACAGCAAATCGTTCTTGTCTGAAACTTTGAGCTCCTTTGTAAACCCATCAAATATTTGCTTCTGTTTTGAAATGTCATACCTGGGTGATATTTGAGGCCGTCAGCCATATTCAGACCACCGTCTCGATCGTACCCAGAATAAAGGCTTTGTCAGCAAAAACTGGGTCATACCTACGATGAGAAGTATCAAAAAACAATGCAATTAAATAATAATAATTAATAAATGAATAATATTAATAAAAATTATTTAAACTATTAAAATCAGTGCAATTAATCATGCAGCCTGACCCATATGCAAATTCCTAGAAAAAAAGTTTCTAGGAATCTCAAGGCATGTCTTTCAAAGTTTCAAATATAAAGCAAACAGACATAGATGATTAAAAACAATAAATAAATAATTAAATAAACAATCAAACAAATAAATAAATAAATAAATAGCATTGCTTTTCTCAGCAATATTAAAATGACACAAACCAAAAATTAAAAACAGACATAGATATATACATAAAATGCAAACTAAATAATGTAAAATAAAAAAAAAATTAAAAAATATGAATGACTGTAATTAATTTGCTATACATTTAGCTCTAAGGCTAACATGTGCAATTAACAAATCTTTCATATAACTAGATGACCTTTGAAGTGAACCGCTGTGCTGTTTATAGGGGGAAAACTAATAATTTAGTCAGTGTGCTACCTTATTTAATTAGTGGAATGCTAATGCTAATTTAACAACTTTAATATTTCTGAGTTTAACTTCCTGCAAATCCTAGGAAGGATGATAGTTTGCAAACTATGCAATATTTCTAAGATCATAGTACATTAAAATAGTTTGCCAGTGATTTTCAAATTATGCAAAGACAGAGGTGCACACCAGCATGAATGCCAATTCCCCAGTGTAAAACAGGCCATTTCTCTTCTTTTCTCTTTCTTTGACTCTTTCATTCTATCCCTCCTGCCACTGCAAACATATTAGTTTTTTCCCAACGCCCTCTTTACAGCTGGTCAGCCTGTCATTTCATTTGTTCTTTCATCAGTCTAGCGTGACTTTCTCAAAGGGCAGCTGTGTCTGTGTACGTCTAGAAGTGTGTGTGTGCATGTCTCACTGTAGCATCTGTATCCTTGTGTGGCTGAACGGACCAGTGGAGGAAATGTTAGAACACATTCCACCATATCTGGGCTTTTCTTCTGAAGGTGTAGAATTTCTGGGTCAGAAGTGTTCTGGTTTACATTCTCCTCTTTTGAGTCTGTTGCCTGTTACTGAGAGAAGGCCATAGCAGAGTAGTCATTTGATTGGAGTCATACATAGCCTGGAAGTGAACCTTTCTGTCCCCCTCTTCCTGGAGACCACCAAAACCCTGTTGAGAGATGAAACTGAATCCAACTGAGTTAAAAAATGTTTGATTATGCGCTCCACTGGCAACTGCAAAAGCGCCACGGGTGTCCAGGACTTCAAAGAGGTCAATGACAACAATGTTATGGTGAGCGTGATTTCACCAAGTACAACATGTTCCTGGATCAACATCCTTGTTGATCCTGGAACAACATTCCAATTAACCAATCAGAATTAAGGGATAACTTTTCAGGAAATATCTGTTTTAGGCTTACGATCAGGGTTAGGTGCTTCTACACCCTTGTTAATCAGCTATCATTTCACACTGATTTTAGGAATAAATTATAGGTAGGGTTAGGTTTAGGGGTAGAGATTGGGTTTAGTTTATATTTTTGGACAGTAATGTTGATCCAGGATCAACAAAAGATGTTGATCCAGGAACATGTCTTACTTGGCAAAATCACGGCGACCCAATGTTATCCAGATATCCTAGACTCATGTAGCCAGACTACGTGACTTAACAGCAAAAGTTTTAGTCTACATCCCAAGTTATGGCCAAAAACTTCCAATTTAAACAGGAAGAAACCATCTAACCGACATTTAAAGTGACAACCTTCATATTTCTGTGTTTTTTTTTTTGGTATTTAGGATTCTGATACAGATTACGCCACACACAAAAAAAACGGAGATGGTTTCACAGTCAAAGTGAAATATACTTTTTTGTTTGTAGATATCTAGTCAACTCAAGTGCCTGAACAAAATTCTAAATAAATATTCCATACACTGTGTATTTCAAAGATTTGATTATACTAACTTGGCAAACATTGAGAAAGATGGTGATTTCTCATCCTCAAAGCCAAAAAAAAAACAAAAAAAACACACATTGCAAAAATTTAGATTACAGGTTACCTGATCAAGAAATGCTTTCCAGTGTGCCGTAATAAGTAATAATCAGACGATCATCAAACAAACTCTTGCCAGTCCAAGGGTATCTGAAGTTGAGACCATCAGACCCTGAAATTAAATTAAATTAAAATAAAAAAAATCAGTATCTATCCAGCCATGAGCATGGACTTGGACTTAAGTATTAAAATGTTTTTTTAAATCATATGCACTTCTTTCCTCTCATTTGAATTTGTTAGAATGAAAGCAGTTTTTGTGTCCAGAAATGTCAAATGAAAAGCTGTTTTAATTGGAGATAAATTCCAGAAACCAGGTCCTTTTACAGCCCGTCTTCTTTCACAATTATACTTCATCAGAATGACTGAATGAATGTTGATTTATGCCAGAGAGCGACCAGCGCCGCAGACCCTGCAGGGCCCGCTGAGCTGCGGTCTATAGAGCAAAGCGCGTACCAAACAGCGTGCCTGAACACAGTGAAGGGTGTGGGTGTGCGATTGAGCAATAACGTGAGAAATCACAAAGTCAAAATCTTTGAGATCAAGTGACTGGGCGTCTTCATGTGGCCAGAGTTCCTCTACTCCCATCCAAAACCTCAACCAGACTCCATGCCTCTGCACCCCACTCCCCATCCCAGCTTAAAAAGCACTGCAAGGTTTTTGTTGTATGGAGCATTTCTTGGCCTCTGGAGGGGTTTTAAAGAGTTCCTAAAACAAACGCTTTCACTGCTTAATGTGTATTTATGTCATTTGTCAAGAGGGATGTACAAATCAAGCCCAATCCCTCTTTAGTCTACAAGGCTCCTGCATTGATGAGTATCCATCCAGACCGCAAACAAACCCAGAGGTGAGAGCGGTTGGCGATGGATCTGCCAGCAAAGTGAGAGAAACTCCTAAAAGATATGAATCAGCATTACAAGTCTGGATTAATCCGAAGACACACTTGGAAACAATCACTGCTATTTGGTTTCTTACCTAGTGCTGTTTTGATAGCTTGCTTAATATGACACATACTGGCTCCGTTGTGTAATCCATCAACACACAAGATATGATTTTACACAGGCCAACGCAAACAAATAGCAGATATGGCAATGAAATCATCTGTGCAATAAACAGAGACTGAGAGTTGGGCCTTCTATGGGTGCAGCAATGTTATTCCAGACATCTCGTCAATCTCAGGTGTGTTTGCCAGTCTCCAGGCGAATGCACCTGAAAAAAAGATGGTGTTAATGCTCTAGAGAGATTTTTCCACCACACTATAGAGTCAGTACCTGGAAACTCTGAAACATCTCATATCGAACACTTCCTCCCACCAATCAATAAATCTCCATGACACAAAGATCTATCTTTGAAGTCACTCCAGGCTTTTAAACTTAAGTTGCACTCCCAACCACTGACAGATTCCTTGTCCATGCACAGCTTTCAAATTCAAAATTCAGAATGGATTCTTATTCTCCTAACTAAGGCCAAGTGCACATTTAGAGGGGTCATGACAGGGGTGTCCAAACTTGGTCCTGGAGGGCCGTTGTCCTGCAGAGTTTAGCTCCAACTTGCCTCAACACACCTGCCTGGGAGTTTCTAGTATGCCAAGTAAGACCTTGATTAGCTGGTCCATGTGTGTTTAGTTGAGGTTGGAGCTAAACTCTGCAGGACAGTGGTCCTCCAGGACCGAGCTTGGACAGCCCTGATATTAGAGGTATTTGTACCATTAAAACATCATGGAAATTGTATATCTTAAATCATCCTCCTCAGTATAAAAAAGCAAAAGCAAAAGAGCAACATCCGTGTTGCATCATAAGCAAATGGAGCCCATCATAATCACTGATGCTGTCTACTGTATACAGCATACAGATGCATGTTCAATGTCCGTTTAAACAGCTTGTTGTACAGACTGCAAGTGAATAGTGTATTTTTATTGGCATCCCGGCATGTTAAGAGCATTTGACTGCAGACTGTTTTGTATAAGCAAGGCGCAGTATAATGGAGAATTTGCAAAGGAACATCTGCTGAAGGATGAAGCTGAACTGTATTGGATCTGACAGCAGGAACATCGCAAAGCGTGAGTAAACATTTTCATCTTGTTTGTCTGTAAATTTAAAGGTTTTATACGGATAATGTTTTCATAATTTTTACTCACATGAAACAGCGGGGTGTTGATACTTTTTACCCTGCAATGACGTTTGCCAAGTCAGAATGTCAGAGTCAGAATGATGGCTGAAAATAATCATTTTGGCAAATATATGACAGGGTTTTTTTGTGCAAAAAAAAAAATTTGCACACTTCCTTTACAATTTCACTTATAAAGGGATAGTTTACCCAAAAATGGAAATTCTGTCATTACAAATCCATAAGACTTCAGTTCACGATTGCTTTATATGACATTTTTGGCAAGCAAAATTAATTCTCTAGAAAACACACATTCACAGAATAACAAGAAAGTAGATTCCTGAAAATGTGATGACAAAAAACAAGGAGGACAGACTTGTTTTTACACTGAATTTTGCACAGAATGAGAAAAACAACCTAAAAGAGACTTAAAATATGAATAAGAGGGTGGTTGGGGAAAAGTTTCAACCCATCCTGTGCTCTTTCGCTATTTCATTGGCTGTTGCTAACTGCTGGTCTCTGGCTGGTCAAGACAGTGTGCACTCCTGACGACTGGTCAGCCAGATTTCAAACCAGCATATTTTCCTTAAAAAGCCAAGAAAATATTTAGGCGGGACATGATGATCAAAACTATTACAATAATACAGCCTTGCATTAAGGCAATTACACATCTGATTTATGGAATGGTAGATTATTGTGCATTCAAGTCATACTGCAATTCCACCCAGCACACAGCATTACAGGGCATTAAGGAGCAGTTGCCAGCACTGTTATACGTCTTGATGCTAATACAAGAAAGAATGACAGGAAATGGGTGGGAGCTTTTCCTCAGAATGGCACAGACACCTCTGAATTCCTGGTGTAACACTGACATTGACGTGACATAGATCACCATTAAGTAACCAATGGCTACATACTGCTCATAGAGCCTGTCATGAAATACTTTAGGGTATTGGAATGCATTTTTTATTTATACTGGTGTTGTATACACCTGTTTTAATTATTGTACATGTTTAGGTGATGATGTTTAGCCACAAGGTAAGCAAAAATCTCTGGATGAACTGGAATAAACAGAAAAATGATGGGTTGTTTTTAAACATGCCCTGGGAAAGAACTGAAGCACAGATGAGAACCAGAGTGGGACAGCATTTCCCTCTCAGTCTGTTTTGATCCCCATTCCCTAGATTGTAATCAAAATCATTCCAAGACACAAATAAACAAAATATCTCAGGAAGAAGCTGGCTTCCCTGCCTTAGTGAATTTGAGCTCAGAGACCTGGGGTGAATTCACTAAACAGTTGCATACCATATTTCACCCTGTATCTTATTCACCAAGCGCCTGCAATGCAGGGTCAGCATATTTTATGGGTGTTTTATGCGGTTATATGATTTGCATAATTCCTCTAGTCAATCAGAAGTACAAACAAGTAGACAGTGCCTGCAAATAAACAATGCTATAAAGAGTAATTCATTCTTAGCAAAATCCCCCTTAGTCTGTGATACAAAGCAATGCAAATTCGTAAAGAATTTAACAGCACTGGTTCTAATTTTTCTTTATAATTCCAGTGAACTGATTCACTGAAAAAGAAACAACTCATTAGAATCATCCATTTGGGAATCAGATTACACTGCTTGCACTGTAGATTTATGATTCACTAAAATAACAAATGCATAAGATTTGTTCGGATGTTGGACTACACTGAATGGGGTTTCTGGTTCACTAAAAAGAACTGACTTACTGCATTCCACTCCCTCTCCATGCTGCAAATGACATTAGGCTGATAAGGCTGAAATATCAGAACTTGTCTGTCTCTTTCACTCTCAATTTTTTCTCTCTCTCTCTCTCTCACACACCCTTTCCCTAACTGTTGATGTGTATTCAGCATTCCAGGGACTCAGTGGCCCCCAGTGTGATTGTGCTGCACTGTGTGTTTCATTATATAAGCCAGTGCTGCTGAAATGAGCAGGGGCTCATGTCCTTTGTATGGAGGCCTCTATCTTTTTCACTTGGTCACTAGAGACCGGCAGCAATTAGGGGCAGAGCAGATATGCCAGGCTATGTCAACATTTACTAAGAAATCCATTGCCTTTCTCCATCGTACGTCAATAAACGAATCTATACCTCTCTGCTAATGCTCCGTTCGGTCTCCCAGGTTTTTAATTAAGCTGTTTTGATGGTTTTCAAATGTCCAGACAACTCTCACAGCTTTTCAGACTGCCCAAATATGGTGCTTGTGTCTGATAGCCTCTTAGGAAAAATATGAATCCCATGATTCATAGCGCTATTTGTACAGCTACCTCTCTCCCCTCCTTTTGCAACAGGCCTGGGAGCAATTACACTCTATGACTCCAGCCATATGTGCTCGGGCTTCTCAAATTCTTATTCTCTGATTTAACAACCCCCCTTCATATCTTTTCCATTCAATGACTTGAAGTATTTTCATTCTTTGGACAATGAACAATACTTGAATGCTTTTTTTCTCCTTACAATCTTTCTTTTCCATCACCAGCTTGTCTGGCTTTCAGCAATCATCTCATGTCATTGCTTTTGTTGTACATTCAAAGGGGAAATGAATATTGAATAATTACATAATGATCAAACCTTATGTGTGAATTGAGCTACTGATGAAAGCTTCCTCCCTGGCTCAGCCGGATCGTTTTTAATAGACTCAGAGAGTGTATTTTTACTCTATGTCCTATGGTAAAACTTGACCATAAGACTGATCGGAGAACAGTTTTGTGGTTTCTCTCATAAAAGATGATCCCGGGATTCTGGGAAAGCCCTGATGTTTTACACTCCTTTTTTTCACTGCATACTATATGCGTTATTTAACCACATGGTTCTCCATTAGCCCCTGCTGTGGACAACAGGACATTTTGAGCAAGGAAAAGTGCCTCAGGCCACGGACACAAAACCAAGCCTTTCAACAGACAGAAAGGACTCATTCAAGTTCACCGCCTCCACAGAAGAGTTCCAGGGCATTAGCCGAAAGAGCTGTCCTGCAGCTGTTAGGCAGATGCCTTGATTGTGGGCCTTGGGATGACCCCATTATTCGGGATGGTCCAGGGGAGCAGATAAACAGACCTTCGTTGCCTCTTACACCCGGTCAAACAAGATGAGATGAAAGGAGAATGTCAAGTCGCTGATGTCATGCCTTGGAGTTGTAGATCAACGTCAGGCTGTATATTTTTGCACACATAGCTTTTCCTTGACCTTATTTCATGCTACTTTTGAGCTTGAAATGAGGATGTGCTCATCGGATTACCTCTCTGTCTTCTTTGAAAAGTCTGAAAAGTCTCTGTCTTTCATCTGAAAGTCTTTGTGCTGAAACATAAGCAGCTGTCTGCGCAGACAGCATGTCAGAAGCGGGTTCAAGCTCAAACTTGTGGTTGACAGTCATTTTAGGACTACTGTGACACCTGGGTTCTTTAATCGGATTCACCTCTAGTTAAAGGATTAGTTGACCCAAACATGAAAACTGTACCATTATTTACCCTCACGTCATTCTAATCCAGTCTGACTTTTTTCACTGTAAAAAAAAGGGGGATTTTGAATTGTACTGCATGGAAAAGAATGACTAATAAATGCAGACTTGCTTTCAAACTTCAAAAATGATGCAAAATATCATATACCGGTAAATGCTACATACAACCTGTACACTATATAGAGTTTTCTTAGGCCATGAGAAAAATTTTGTGAAAGAAAATGTAATCATTATTCACTGGAAATCGTGACAACAGCCTTAGCTCTCCTTTGGCACATTCTCCTTGTTCAGAGGAAAACTGATTCTTGAATTAATCGTTCTGTTGAGTTGGATCTTTCCAATGAATCATTTGATTCAGTTTACAGAAATGATATGAAATAAATATATAAAGAAAGTGTAATTTAAATTACAGTACTGCTTTAACACAGTGGCGAGGATAGGCGCTACATTGTTCGCTTCTATTATATGGCAAATGGTAAATGCAATAGCTGTCAATCTACTATGGTTTGCTAATGTTTGGTGAAGCTACAAACGAAAATACTGGTATTGACTGGTCTACTGAAACAATTACACTTGTATACTACTAGCTGAGACCTTTTTCAACGACATATGACAAGTC